GGCCTGCCGGTTTCCCTGAACCCCTTCATAAATGTTACTTTGCTCACACTCCAACAGCACGTCAAGTATTAAAAACCATTTGTCTCCATTCACTCCTATCAAACATGCTCACGCATGCCTGCTGGAAGTCCAAGCCCCTCGCAAACAAAACCTCCTTTACCCCCTCCCTCCAACCTTTCCTAGGCCGACCCCTACCCCACCTTCCTTCCACTACAGACTGATACACTCTTGAAGTCATTCTGTTTCGCTCCATTCACTCTACATGTCCGAACCACCTCAACAACCCTTCCTCAGCCCTCTGCACCTCCTCCTAACTTCCAAACTACGAATTCTCTGCATTATATTCACGCCACACATTGCCCTCAGACATGACATCTCCACTGCCTCCAGCCTTCTCCTCGCTGTAACATTCATCACCCATGCTTCACACCCATATAAGAGTGTTGGTAAAACTATACTCTCATACATTCCCTCTTTGCCTCCAAGGACAAAGTTCTTTGTCTCCACACACTCCTAAGTGCACCACTCACCTTTTCCCCTCATCAATTCTATGATTCACCTCATCTTTCATAGACCATCCGCTGACACGTCCACTCCCAAATATCTGAATACATTCACCTCCTCCATACTCTCTCCCTCCAATCTGATATCCAATCTTTCATCACCTAATCTTTTTGTTATCCTCATAACCTTACTCTTTCCTGTATTCACTTTTAATTTTCTTCTTTTGCACACCCTACCAAATTCATCCACCAATCTCTGCAACTTCTCTTCAGAATCTCCCAAGAGCACAGTGTCATCAGCAAAGAGCAACTGTGACAACTCCCACTTTGTGTGTGATTCTTTATCTTTTAACTCCACGCCTCTTGCCAAGACCCTCGCATTTACTTCTCTTACAACCCCATCTATAAATATATTAAACAACCACGGTGACATCACATATCCTTGTCTAAGGCCTACTTTTACTGGGAAATAATTTCCCTCTTTCCTACATACTCTAACTTGAGCCTCACTATCCTCATAAAAACTCTTCACTGCTTTCAGTAACCTACCTCCTACACCATACACCTGCAACATCTGCCACATTGCCCCCCTATCCACCCTGTCATACGCCTTTTCCAAATCCATAAATGCCACAAAGACCTCTTTAGCCTTATCTAAATACTGTTCACTTATATGTTTCACTGTAAACACCTGGTCCACACACCCCCTACCTTTCCTAAAGCCGCCTTGTTCATCTGCTATCCTATTCTCCGTCTTACTCTTAATTCTTTCAATAATAACTCTACCATACACTTTACCAGGTATACTCAACAGACTTATCCCCCTATAATTTTTGCACTCTCTTTTGTCCCCTTTGCCTTTATACAAAGGAACTATGCATGCTCTCTGCCAATCCCTAGGTACCTTACCCTCTTCCATACATTTATTAAATAATTGCACCAACCACTCCAAAACTATATCCCCACCTGCTTTTAACATTTCTATCTTTATCCCATCAATCCCGGCTGCCTTACCCCCTTTCATTTTACCTATTGCCTCACAAACTTCCCCCACACTCACAACTGGCTCTTCCTCACTCCTGCAAGATGTTATTCCTCCTTGCCCTATACACGAAATCACAGCTTCCCTATCTTCATCAACATTTAACAATTCCTCAAAATATTCCCTCCATCTTCCCAATACCTCTAACTCTCCATTTAATAACTCTCCTCTCCTATTTTTAACCGACAAATCCATTTGTTCTCTAGGCTTCCTAAACTTGTTAATCTCACTCCAAAACTTTTTCTTATTTTCAACAAAATTTGTTGATAACATCTCACCCACTCTCTCATTTGCTCTTTTTACATTGCTTCACCACTCTCTTAACCTCTCTCTCATGTTTGTGCATAAAAGGGGGGTACCAGCATTTTATATAATAAAAAAAAATTGTGTATATGTACATACTGTTTAAGACTACACAACTTCACTGCTCGGAGTCTGGAGCGATACTGATGTTCACATCACACGACTCTAGTACACAGCAGCAGTCCAATATCAATGTGTAATGCAGTTAAATAAAACTGATACTGTTAAACTTATTAAATTTATAAGCCATATTATATCAAAACCTGTACTGTTCAAAACTGTGCTATGCAAGGTATTACTGCAATATTTCTTCACTAGTACTCCAATCTTTGCCATTATTACTACTACTACTACTTCCACTACTTTTTACTTTTACTTCTACCATTATTACTACTACTACTACTACTACTATCACTTCCATCACCACTGCCACTATTACTATTCTAACAATCCTGTCTGTCACCCCCCTTTCGTATATATTCTGGCTCCCTTCCCTCTGTGTGACTTGTTAATGGTCGAAGTCGGACTCAGACATCATTGTAAGTTTCAATCTCCCAAGCGTGGGTTATATGTGTATTAATATATTAATGGAATCATACTGACAAAGTGAAAGAAGTCCAGGATTGAAGGTAATATTTACACGTAATTAAATTTAAAGAAGCAAAAGTTCTTCTAAATCAATTTACTGTACTTAGTCTTCAAGACAAAAATTGGAATGTGATTTACAAACACTGTACAATAAATGGAATTTAAAAAAAGAAAAAAGCATGAACACTCTTGAGCCAGAATGTCTTCAATATTACTCTGTCAAATATGTATAGCATATCAATCATTTTAAAATAACCAGCAAACTATTTAGTCTAACAATGCAAATTATTTTTCATTAACTGAGGAGTAAACACAGTAAATTACCAAAAGTAACTGAGTGCACAAATGTATACACACGGAGAGAAGAATGACCTGTGAGGAATGTAAACTACTCTACAGAGTGACTTAGTACTAAGCAATCTGAAATTGTATGAAGAGAGAGGATTAACTACACGCATGAACAAACAACAAAGGAACCAAAACAGAGGAATGCTACTGATATCACCAACTGAAGTTATCAAGTCACATAACCTAAAATTAACTTAAATTATAGTGCTGGATAACTTGTGATTATATTTTAAGTCACCAAACCTTCTGTCTGATGTTAGTGATTTGAAAATTCAAAGATGGTACTGGATACCAAGCAAAGCAGTAGAATGTATATATAAAAGAAACAAGTGAACCACACAAGACATCAGCCATTAACATAGTACAAGATTTACTTAGCATCACAGAGTATTACAACTAACACCAGACACATTCACAAGAATAGTTAGCCATCAACATGGCCAGTACAGGACTTGCTTTAGACCATATACTTTTACATGTACACCAGACACATTCACAAGGAGAATAAACTACAAGTATCATAAGGGGTTGCAAGCTTCCTATCCGATACATACAAGTTTCACTGCTAATCTAACAAGATCTAGCTAACATGGCAACATCAACTCAAAATTATCTATAACTATCCAGTCTCTTAGAGAGAAATACACTGTGCTTTAAGTCACATGTGTCAAGAAACAAGACACTCATGTCTTTTACCTGCCTATGTATAGTGTCAAGCAACATGACACTAATGTCTTGTGGTAGGAGGATGATACAATGACTGCCTACATGTGACATTTACTATTGAGACTGGGTAATTATCTAAAATTATTATTACTGTAGTCTTAATGTAATGCTATGTATAATAAATTTAAGGTTTTAAACATAGGCAAAAGGATTAAGCATACACATTAATAAGGGAATAGTTAATGGGAGATATTTATTTCCAATGTAATGACAAAAGAAAGAATACCTGTGAATTTGGCTTCAAGAAATCCAGAAGAAATTTGTGGGGGATGAATCCTGGGCTGTACTACAAGAATACAGAAGCCAAAATTGTGTTAGCAATGATCTTTATCAGCAAAGGTGAGACAACAAACTACATGTATATAATAATTGTTCTATACTACACCTCTATTACGCATTAAACCAAAATTAACAACGTATGTAGTATTCATTATGAACACATCAACACAACTGTTAGTTAACACTTCACAATACACAAACTCCATAACCCTAAACCACTACCTGGTACACTAAGCAAGCTTCCTGACACCGAACAAACTGACTCACACACTGAACCATGTCTCTGGCACACTGAGAAAGCATCCTGACACTGAACAAGCTGCCTCACACCCCTATACTTATTATAAATGGTGAAAAAGACATACAGCAAAAAAGAGTCCTTTCTGAGCTTTCACCTACAAGAGGCTTTATCAAGTACAGGAAATATAGAAAACATGAACATACACACAAAGGTAGTCATATCAAGTGTACAATGCTCTTCCTTCACCACTTGAAGACAGTAAGTTAAGACTAACCACCACACTAATGATGGTCGAGAACAGAAAGTGAAGGTTAACATTAAACCACACTAACAATGGTTGAGAATGAATGAATGCTAACAACCACAAAATTGCACACAACAACATATGAGAAACTGACTACTGCATGTATGTTGTCCTTATTCTAATACGACAAACAGTGAAATGACATGAAGATATTCTTGAGCTGTCACTGAAACTGAATTACGAGTCGCTACACAATTCATAAATAAAAACTTTAAAAAATACAACACGAAACAAATATTTATGAATTGTGTTGTGACCCACAATTCAGTTTCAGAAACTGCTTTGAAATATCTTGAATATAATTTCACTGTGTCGTATCAGAATAAATTAATGGCGACACGAAAATACTACACAAATTCTTCACGTTGACATTTATCATGCAGGCTGTCAATATTAACTTGTCATTTTAAGGCCCAAGAACAAAAAAAAAATTATTTCAGGGACCAAGACAAAACAGGTCCCTCAAGTAACAATATCAGCAAATGAGGAGCTGGCCAAGTTTAAACCTGTTACTAACTGGTCAGCTATGTGAAGGCAAGAGCTAAAACCTTGTTTATTAAGTCTTTCTTCCCAAGAGTTTCTCCTGATGGATTTGCCAGGTCATCCTCTGAAGGCCTGATTTTACTTTAATTAACAAGACAACCTGTTAAAAAAAAAAAGCCTGACCTGGAGTTTTGCGCAGCCCTTCTACAAGAGAGTCAAAGGTCATGGCAACAGCTTCTGATGTGACAACTGGTCCTCTGGCTGGTGCCTGGGGATGTGCTGCTACCCAAGCTTGATATATTCGATCCCACAGCTCAACAACCTAAACATAAAAGGAATCTTATTACAAAGAATAAAATATAAAAGTAAAGACCAATTAATATAACTCAGAGAGGACACAAATAATGCAAAAGAATAAGACAGAGTGAAAGAAATAATAAGACCACAATGGGTTGTGGTGAGGTGTGAGAAATGTTGGACAAGGTCATGAGTACCAGGATCATTCTCCAGTGCCACTACTCATGAAGAGGTCATGAGTGTTAAGATCACTTTCCAGTGTCACTACTTAGGAAGATATTAAGGAACAATTAGCAGTGCCAAAGTAATGGTATTGGTATCAACTAATTTTGATGGTACTGATATCGGCTAATTTTGATAGTGGCTAATTCTGATGACATCAGCATCGGCTAATTTTGATAGCTTCAGTATCAGCTAATTTTGATGCAGAGACTGCTGGCAATATAACCTTCAATTATTGTAACAGTTTTCCAGTGCTTTTTAAAGTATATTCTAGTACTTTCAGGGAATAACCTCTATTTTGTAATACTAAATACAGTAGGGCTTCGGTTTATGGTGCTTCACAATACAGCCATTTCAAATTATATCCCAAAATTTGTTTATACAGCTCCTGATTCATTATGATGGCCGGAGCCCCTGGCCAGCTGGGCATCCACGTGTCATTTTATTTCTCAGTTTGCTTACATCCTCCATGAGCTCCATATCTCTCTTGATTCTGCCCAGAAACTTTCCAAAGTTTCAAGCATTTAAAGTTATTGCATATTTTTTTAAACAGTCTTTTTGTGTTACAATGGCATCTAAGGGCAATTGTGATAGAAAGAGGAGTCATAAGGCTCTTATTTTAAATGCAAAGTTAGAAATAATTAAACTCAGTGAGCAAGGTATGTCTATGGCTGAGACTGGACTGAAATAGTACTGATAATTGTACTTGTGTGTACCTGTACCTAAATAAACTTACACGTTGTGCTGGCATGCAGGTACGTTAAAATCAATATTTGGCATCACTGACTTTATTGGGTTATCCTAGGTAATTTACACACACATTACTATGTACAGAACAACCACTGTGAAAAGAATAGTGAGCTTCCAAGTGCTTTTGTAATTTTTCATATTATCAAAAAACTATAAAAATAAAAGATTAGCAGAAGACATATAAGAGTAAGATTACAATTAATTTTTAAAAGGCCAAGAAAAGTTGTATCAAGCAGGTCCATGGTTGAGAGAAATGTAATAGAATCAAAGTTCATAAAAAATCATTTTAAATTTATATGAATATTGGTTTAGGATTATACAAATTACATTTATAATCAATCAAATTTGGGAAGAATTTAAGATATATTCGACAAGTTAAAATCTTAAAGCGTGGGTACAGTATAAGCTATATGTCTGACAGGTCCTTGATCACCTCACCCGCATCATCATAAAAGGTTCAGGTGTTGTATGGCAAAACTAGTCAAACTGGGAGTGAAACTAGTCACTCCTAAATGGACATCCAATACCTGTTCTGTGTGTATCCAGCTGACCACACACACATGTCCACCCAAAACACTGATATTATATATACATTTATGGAGCATTTTCTCCCACAATACACCTTACATTATATACAAATTATCTTCACATTAATGCAGTAGCCTGCATAACAGCTGCCATGAGCCAGAGTATATTGTTGGTGATTCAGTCTGTTTACAGAATTTGTGAGCTCTGCGCCTCTCTATTCTGGCAATATTTTACATTCCGTTTACTTTCATATCATTTTTTAGGCCTACCTCTATTGCACACTTAATGTATGATGAAAATAAATATAAAGCCAGCAGAGGCTGGTTTCAAAGGTTTAGGGAAAAAAGCCAACTTGACAACATCAAAGTACAGGGTGAAGCAGGGATAATTAAATGTGGGGGATTTACCAAGCAACAGATTTTTAATGTGGATGAAACTGCATTATTTTGGAAGATGTTCTCTAGGACATTTATTGCTAAAGAAGAGAAGTCAATGCCTGGCTTCAAAGCTGTAAAAGACAGTATAACACGCTCATGCACTCCTGCTGGAAGTCCAAGCCCCTCGCCCACAAAACCACCCTTACCCCTTCCTTCCAACCTTCTCGAGGACGACCCCTACCCTGCCTTCAGTCTCCTACAGATTTAAATTCTCTCCATGTCATTCTACTTTGATCCATTCTCTCTAAATGACCAAACCACCTCAACAGCCCCTCTTCAGCCCTATGACTAATACTTTTATTAACTCCACACCTCCTAATTTCCACACTCCGAATTTTCTGCATAATATTTACACCACACATTGCCCTTAGACAGGACATCTCCACTGCCTCCAACTGCCTCCTTGCTGCTGCATTCACAACCCAAGCTTCACACCCATATAAGAGTGTTGGTACTACTATACTTTCATACATTCCCTTCTTTGCCTCCATAGATAACGTTTTTTGACTCCACATATACCTCAACGCACCACTCACCTTTTTTCCTTCATCAATTCTATGATTAACCTCATCCTTCATAAATCCATCCGCTGACACGTCAACTCCCAAGTATCTGAAAACATTCACTTCTTCCATACTCCTCTCCCCAATTTGATATCCAATTTTTCTTTATCTAAATCATTTGATACCCTCATCACCTTACTCTTTTCTATGTTCACTTTCAACTTTCTACCTTTACACACACTCCCAAACTCATCCACTAACCTTTGCAATTTTTCTTTAGAATCTCCCATAAGCACAGTATCATTAACAAAAAGTAACTGTCAATTCCCATTTTGTATTTCATTCCCCATAATTTAATCCCACCCCTCTCCCAACACCCTAGCATTTACTTCTTTTACAACCCCATCTATAAATATATTAAACAACCATGGTGACATTACACATCCCTGTCTAAGACCTACTTTTACTGGGAAGTATCTCCCTTTCTTCTACACACTTCTACAGACTCATGAACTTTATAATTCATGTTTTGATTATACAATGATTTTACTGAAGGAGATACTGTAAATGACTTCAAAGCATTTTTAGTTTTGTGGTAAATCCTATCTTTTGGGGAACTTCACAAATGATTAAAACTTTTTAACTATTGAATTTTTTGTCATTTGTTGGGAACAACAACCAAATTATTAACTCTTTCAATTTTCACATATGTAATCTCATGGAATGTAAGAACTTGCCAGAGTTTAAGGAGGTTCAAGTTCCATCTCATTGGTATGTTTGTGTTCTAGCAAAGAAACTTCAAATGTTATAGATGCCATTGTATAAAATTTGGTTGAAATGCAATTGAACAATATCAGTGAACAAGTGAGTCTATTCTGAAGAATACATATTTTAAAACTGTAGGAGAGTTACCAAAGAAACCAAAATAGGTTGCTGGCACATGGGTAGGGTGAGGAGCCACAGGTGTTAAACATCTGCTTGTCTTTGCCTCACTCAGCCTGAGTCCAGAACAAAAACCTCTTTTGAAGCTTCTTGTGAGGTCTGCTATTGTTGCTTCACTGTGACCCTTGAGGATGGATTAAGGAGGTAACAAGAGGCAGACATGCTTGTTAACAATATTCCAAACAATGGCACCTTGATTTTCTTTTGGGATGGAATAAGGGTGATAAGAGAAACAGGTTGCTTAAGAATTAAAAGTAAGAATGTAGCCAAATAAGGGATTTTCATCTTCATAAAAAAATACCTCAAGATTTTGAAAATTTTAAAAAATAATTTCTACAACAAAGATTAAAACTTGCATAAAAAAAATAAAAATAAAAAAATTATATAAAAATACTAAAAAAGGAAACAAAGTAAGTGAAGATGTGAGATTTTCTCTGTGTACATAGGTTATGACTAGGATACAGCCTGTTAAAGTAGTTAAAGTAGCTAGGTGCTCTAATGACACCCTGTTATTCTACACTTAACTAGCCTAACAAACTTGATCAATCTTTTGGCAACTCTTCCATCCACCCTGGATGATAATAGTCACTACTCTTTAATATCAAGTTAAAAATTACTCAGGAAGGATTGTAATGTTGTCTCAACATTTAATTTCAATTGTTGGTTAGTTACCAAATTTTCCAATCCATAGTATTAAGACTTTTTAGTATGTCATTATAGTTAAAACTAAACTTCCTTCATGTGACAGCTAGGAAAATTACTTGTCAGAGATGAGTAAAGACCTACTGCTGTCACATCACTTGAGCCAACAGTGTTACCATAGATGTATGTAGTGTTAGTTTAAGTTAGCAGGGAGGTATGTAGGTATCAGCTAATTAAATGTGCATGAAGACAAGGCAAGGAAGATTTACCTGTTTCTCCAGATGGATGGCTTTATCTTCATCAGTCTCTCCCAACATGCTGCGCACCTGAAAGTCAGTCCCAGTATCTTAGTTGACTCTTCAACACCCTACTAATATCATAGTAGTACATGGTACATCTCAGACAGGAATTTTTAAGGAATGCACATCAGAGAAAGTGACTCAAATGAGAGGAGCAAAATGGTAGTAAACCCTTTCTTCTGTAGTAATTACAAAAAGTCTGGATTGCTTGTATATGCATGGCAGTATTACACAAGAAAAAACTTGTGTATTGTTAATATTATGAAAGAACAAAAGCTATCTATGGAAGCATTAAGCAAAATATAAACTAGAAGGGGGTGAGAGAAGGTCTATGGGGAAGAATAAATGGGGTTAAACCGGTTTCATCTGAGAGAACTAGAGCTAAAGCAATATTAACTGATCAATTATGAAAAGAATGGTGGTATTAGCATTAAAATTCAAGAATTCTGTGGATTAGAAGAAAAGTAAGAGGTGAGAAATGGGTCATAGAAAGTGTTTCTGCATCTGGGTGAGAAACGAGTGTAGAAAAAGAGGTTCTAGCAAATAAGTGAAAATATAAGGAATTTTGAAGGCAGAAAACAGTCATTATGGGTTATGGGGAAATGTGAGGAAACCAGAAGAGGTGGTAAGATAGTATAACTATGTGACCTGAATGTAGTCATGATGTTTATAGCTCTCAACTTTGATATTCAGAGAAATTTTAATGTAAAAAGGTGAATGTGGGTTATGATAATTATTTAAACAGCAGATGTAAAAGCATTAGTAACAATACCTAAAGAACTAATAAAGGTAATCTAGGACACTAGAGATGAGAAAGTGGCTGCATAGGGCTTGTCAGGCAGGTGAGCCAGCATTGTTAAATCACTAGCTAAGGCATAATTCTCAAGTTCGACACAAGACCACCATAGATGAGGAGGGATACATGCCACAACATATTAGTAATGCAGAACTGACAGCCACCTTGGGGCTTCCACAGTTAGTGACACAGGCAGCCAACTGGTGCTTGGAGTCGGCACAGTTATCAATGCATAAAGCAAGAGAGTGCACATGTGCCAAAGGGAAACAGATGACTTACAGGGAGACAAGTGATGATCATCTAATTATTGGTACATATATATTAAAAGATCTGACAACAGGCCACTATTCTTGTAAGTGGTTCGCAAAACCCAATAACAGAAATAAGTAATCACACATGCTGCACTAGGCCTGAGTCAACACAGTTAATTACCCACATATGTTGCAATAGCAGCAATATGACACCACCACCATAACATGCTGAACTAAGCCTAACACTACACAGCCATTTACCAACTGCACATGCAGCAACAGGCCACTAATCATATCAACACCAAATGCTGCACTAAGCCTCAGCCTACACAGTCTCGCCAACATCAGAATAGGCCCAAGGCTGCACCAACACCACATGCTGCACTAAAACTGACTAGACTGCCACCCACCACAACCACATGCTACAACTATGAACCTAGCTTGTCATACACTGACTGCAAGTGAAGGGTTAGCAGTAGCACCAACTTGCTGACACATCAGTCTACACAACTACAATGAACCCAGATGGTCAACAAACTTAGCACATACTTGCTGACACACTGGCCAACATGAGCAGCTGGTAAAACACACTTGGCACATGCTGACACACTGGTCAACCTGCACTTACCACCATGGTGGCATTGATTGCTGGGTGTGAACCCTCCACATCAATCAGCTTGAACCCAATAAGAAAAATGTCTTTAACTATGGTTCACAAACCTCAGAGATATACAGACTCAGTCATCTTTATTAATATGCAAAAGAACTAGCAGCACATGATATACAAAGCATGGACAACAAGTTTCCATTACTGTATAAAAGAATTTTGGCTCCATATGTACAATGTGTGTGGCACAAACTCTTTGTTATGTCAATCATTCAGGCTGTTATGAAAAATAAAAATGTCCCAAGTGCACAAGTCACTCTACTAACATTTATTCTGACATTTTTTCCTCACAAAAATTCACTTTTTTATGGGAAATATGCAAATGTCATTACTAGAAGGGCGTAAAAATCTGGGGTGGAGGCAGGGCCAGATTTAGGGAAGGGGCCCGGGGGCCCGGGCCCAAGGCCTCCACCAAATGAAAAATACTGACACACTTACTGAGAATTAAACAGATCACAAAGAGAGAAAATGTATGTAAGAGTTTGAATTGTGGTGGGATTGTCATGTTGAGTCATCTGATCGCTGGTGTTACATCACTGGTGTGAGCACATCATCAACTGCATGACGCAAGGATGACTCGCAGCATATCATCATCCTAGGTGTGCAGGGCACTGGAGTATGAATGACTGCTTGATTGTGGTCAATATGTTAACAACAGAGTGGTAGTGAGGACGAAATAGGGTAAGTGCTCAATGCTACGTGTTTCGGTTATTATTGTCAGAGTAAAAAATTATATTCTGGTACTGAACAGATTTGTTTTTTATTACGAGCGAGTGAGCAAGCGTAGGGAAGTGATGTTTTCTATACAAGTTTTAACCCTTAAACTCTCCAAACAAAGATCTACGTTCAAGTGAGTAGCGCTCCGACCTTTATTTTCCCCATTTGAAAACATGTAAAAACAAAGATATACGTTCGGAGCTCCCCCCCCCCCCCCCCGTACATGAACGATCTACGTTTGGACAGTAAGGATTAAGGGAATGTAGCAATAATCAAATATGCTAAAAATAATATGTTCTTTCAAATTCTGATCAAGTGACTGCAAACTTTGGCATGATATAAACCTTGTTTTCAGTTTCAGGTGGAAATATGGATAACCATTCTAAAGATAGGCATAAAAATCAAGTCAGAATAGATCCCATTGGAGCAGTTAAAAGAAAGGCCAAGGAAGTTGCTCAGAAATCAGTGATATCGGCATCTAACACGCAAAAAATTAGTGACTTCATGACTACACATGCACAGCAAACACCGGGACAAACATCATCAGCATTTCAAAGAACTCCACAGCACTGTACAGTGGACCCCCGGTTTACAATATTTTTTCATTCCAGAAGTATGTTCAGGTGCCAGTACTGACCGAATTTGTTCCCATAAGGAATATTGTGAATTAGATTAGTCCATTTCAGACCCCCAAACATACACGTACAAACGCACTTGCATAAATATACTTACATAATTGGTCACATTGGGAGGTGATCATAAAGCGGGGGTCCACTGTATTTGAACACACACATCTGATCAGCTAGATAATAATTTACTCCAACACGAAGCTGGTGATCATGAGAGGAGCGCCATGAGCAGGATGATCAGAAGAACAACATGAAAAACCAGTTCAACAGGCGGAACATGAAATCCAGAAGCGACAAGATAACCTTGGGCATGACGAAGTACACCAGAAAGAAAATTGTGAGGATGAGCAACATCACAGAATTGACGAAGCACCAGCAGAAATTGAGAACGACACTGGGTTGTGGCCTACCATTGTTTCAAATTTGATGAGAGAACACTGTGAAAAATGGTGCATCAGTCGTTAAAAATTGTGATCCACAGACTTTTTCTCAGTTTTCCAAGGGAATGTCCTGGGAAAATGGAAAGACTCCACGAATTTGTAGTTGGGCTATTCAATCAGAATCACAATGGTAAGGTCGTAAATAGGGAATGGTTATGTTTTTCTCCTTCGAGTGGTTGTTTGTACTGCTACCACTAAGCTAATGTGCCCCAATGCATTGAAACACCAATCATCGCTTGTTAACAGTGGTTTTTCTGACTGGAAACACGCAAACAATCATCTGAAGCAACACGAGTGGTCGAAGGAACATCTTGACTCGACCATTGCATTTCATGCTAGATCAAAAGTATCCACACGGATTGATGATGAAATGGTACGGCAGATTGAGCAATGAGAACGTTATTGGTGGTTAATATTGAAAAATTTGGTCAGTATTATCAAGTTCATTACTGAACGTGGCTTGGCATTCAGGGGAGACAACGAGTTGACTGAATCACCTCGCAATGGAAACTATCTGGGGATTATCGAGCTTGTTTCGCAATACGACAACCTTTTATCACAGCATATTGAGAAGCATTCTGAGTGTGGCTCCATACACATGAGGTATCTGTCATTGACAGTAATGGAAGAACTCATAGTTACGATGGGAAAGCAAGTTTTGAATGAAATAATCCAATGAGTAAAAAAAAGCAAGTACTACTCAATTTCCCTCAACTCCATGCCTGGCAAAAGCCATGTCAATCAACTTGCACTTGTACTGCGTTACATAGCGAATAATGAGCCTGTTGAAAGATTTGTTACGTTCATGCTGAAGAGGGGCCACGAAGTGCAAGACATGTTCGATGCCATGCTGCAGTTCCTCCAATTACACGAAATAGACGTCAGTAACTGCTGTGGTCAGACCTACGACAATGCCAGTTCAATGAGCGGCATGTACAATGGTCTATGGGCCAAAGTGCTGCAAGAAAACAAGCGCACAGAATGGGTTCCTTGCACAGCTCATTCGTTGAACCTAGGTGGGAAAAATGCAGCCAAATGTTGTACTGGAACAATCCATTACTTTGGTTTCCTTCAGAAGTTGTATGAGTTTTTTCGATTTCACCACATTGGCAAAAGATTCTAACAGATGCTCTGGAAAGTGCATATATTTCCCTGACTCTGAAACGGGTCACAACAACGCATTGGTCTTGCCGAGCCAATGCAGTCAAAGCCCTCAGAATTAGTTACAATCAAATCAGAAATGCATTGGAAAACATCACAAATGACGTTGATGAAAGGGCCTGTGTACACCGCGAAGCACGTGGATTGTCAGCAAAGGTCTGTCTTCCTGAAACAGGAATTTATACTGCTTTCTGGAATGACATTCTTCAAAGAGTGAATGCAACAAATCAAGGGTTGCCAAGCAAAAAACTAAATCCTGATGCTGCAGTTGCTTCATTGACTAGTCTGAAAGACTGTGTGGTCTAAATGTGAATGTTTTGACAGTTATGAGAGGAAAGATAAATAACCGTCAGGTTCTGCAGACCACACTCCATTGCAAAAGCGATCCCACAACATTCGTTTAAGTCCACTGGACTATGGTCACGCAGAGCAAGCATGAACCCCTATGAAAAATTTAGAGTAGAGAAGTTCATTCCAGTCATCGAACAGTTCATAGCTTCACCTGATCAACGTTTGCATTAATATGAGCTGATGTCAGCTTGGTTCAGCTGCTTCAGGTGATTGACGAAGTTATCGCCCGAAGAACTGACAAGAGCAGCACAAAACCTATTGGAAGTATATCCCAAAGACAGAAAATTCCTTTCCAGATGAAATGATTCAATTTTCTTCTTTTTCCAGGATTCATGCAAACAAAGAGCCCAACAACATGAGCAAAGAATTATTTCTTTACAAGCTCATCCACGAAAAACATGTGGTTGACATTTTCTCAACTCTTGAAGTCGCAATGAGAATGTACCTCGTGGTGATGGCAAACAGTTGATGGTTCATCCTCCCTTCTCTCTCGATAGTGTCCCTGGCATGTTGATGCACGAGGTTTTCCAGTGCCACATCCATCACCTTGGCTCTCCATGTTTCGGGACATCCATGTGACTCCAGGCTTTCCCAATCAATCTCCCTGTGGTTGAAATCGCCCATAATCAGTAACTTTGCTCTGCTCAAGTGAGCTCTTCTTGCCACCTCAGCCAGTGTGTCCACCATCGCTCTGTTGTTCTCTTCATATTCTTCTCTTGGCCTCCTGCAGTTCTGTGGTGGGCTATACATCACTGCAATGACCACTTTATGTTCCCCAGACTGAAGTGTACCTACTATGTAATCCCTTTCTCCAATCTTGTCCTCGCACTCTCTCGTGTGTGCGTGCGTATGTGTGCGCGTGCACATGTGTGCATGCATGCACATGTATGCGCATGTGCACATGCATGTGTGTGCATGTGCACGTGTGTGTGTGCACATGTGTGCATATGCATGTGTGCATGTGCATGTGTGCATACACGTGTGCACTTGCATGTGTGCATACACGCGTGCACTTGCATGTGTGCGCATGCATGTGCGCATGTGTGCACATGCATGTGTGCGCATGCATGAGCATGTGCGTACATGTGTAATGAAGCATGTGTGTATGCATGCGTATGTGTGAGAGAAACACACAGACAGGGAGACATACAGGGAGACAGAGAGAGAGACAGAGACAGAGAGAGAGACAGAGAGACAGAGAGAGAGACAGAGAGAGACAGAGAGAGACAGAGAGACAGAGAGACAGACAGACAGACAGACAGAGACAGACAGAGAGACAGAGACAGAGAGAGAGAGAGAGAGAGAGAGAGAGAGACACACACACACACTGTGTTCTTACATTATCGTATATTTTCTCACTGCTTATGACATTTTGTGTTTTCCCTAACACTATCATACACAACACCCTTAACATAATACAACTAAATTCTAAAATTCTAGTATAATTTATTACATATACAAATTATACAAAGGAAGGTCACTTACCATGCTGGCAATCCACTCACGGCCATATAAGTATCCTTCGTCAAGTGCCGAGCTCACCACGTCTCCCAGACCCTCGGGGAGAAGTGCCAGAAACTGAGGGTTGTTCACCACAGTGGAATTAATCACCTGACTCCCCAGAGCAACCAAAGCCATGCTTTCTCCTTGGATCTGTAAACAATTGAAAAGCTGCAGCCTGAAACACTCATGAGCATGTAAGATGACAAGTATGTCTTGTAAACTAACTACAGGTATTAGCATTTAGTACACACTACGCGAATGTGTGCGTGCACATGCACATGGGTGTGCAAGCATACTGTAAATACACTATACTGCTTTCTTCTCAATACTTCGTATCCCAATAAGGTTTCGCAAGGAAAGTAGATTAGAATCCTTCCTCTGCAGGCCTTAAACGAGGAAGAAGACAACTAAAATGCTGATAGTTGGGGGTCTAGTTGGGGGTGAGTAGATACAGTATGGATGTAAAGAAATAAAGAAAGGGAAGATAGGGTGACCAAAAACATGTATAAATCTAGGTGCAGATTATTATATTCCCTGATGAGCACAAAACCATTATGGCTCATACAGTGCATGTGGAATGAGATTTAACCAGATATGGTCCATAGGTATATTTATATATGTATATGTTCCATAGGTATATTTTGTCCAGAAAAAGACAATATAGACACTGCAAGCAGCTCTCAGTTATTCTGTATAACTGATTATCATCGGTCATCAAAAACTCCCAGAACTCAGCACATGAGGGTTGGGGACATCCCAGGGAGTGCTGAAAGGAAAGTCTGAAGACAGATTTTAATGATAAAAGTGTGTTATATTAAAGTTAATGGAGAGAAAGTGTACACTATTAAGGATATGATGTACTGTCAGTGTGAGCATGGTAACATTTAAGTAGGGATTGAGAGCAACGTGTTAAGAGACCTTGAGTTCTGGATGTGGTAAATACTGTGCCTGCACTCTGAGGGAGGAGCAAGCATGCTGCTGTTTTAAAGTTTGTCTGATTTGTGATGCTCGAACACTCCTACATGACAGTGACCGAATGAATAATGGCAAGTGTTACCTATGCCTGGGTCACTGAGTGTCCATGGTTCAATCTCCAGCATGGGTAGAAACATTGGGCATGTTTCCTTACACCTGCTGTCCCCATTTACCTAGCAGTAAGTAGGTGCCTGGGTGCTAGTCAACTGTTGTGGGTCACATCCTGAGGAGTTGGAAGTCAATATTTATACATCAATAATTGTACAACTCGATATTCGCCCAACTTTGAGAAAAATTCGACTCGGTATTCGGACGTTGCCCTGATATCCGACCTAAACAAAACAGTCCATCTGGACAAAGTCTGACAAAACCAAAGCATCATGTGCTCAGTTTCTCATCAGCTTTCATTCGTTAAGCATTGTTTGTACAAGTCCATGAAACCTTCTGTATTTGAATTGTTATTCTGTGGTTTTTTTAAATATTTTCATTGAAAATAAGTAATCATGCTCTCCCCATAAAAAAAAAAAGTAGTGATCCAAACAAGCCTAAAAGCAAAGCAGCAAGAACAACAGTTAGTGAAAAATAACTCACTGCGAAGTGGGAAAGTGGAGCACACGTGTCAGACTTGGCCACTCAATATGGCATGGCGAAATCCACCATATCATCCAAATTGAAAAATAATGAGGCAATAAAAGAGGTTAATGTGGTGAAAGAAGTGAAAATTCTTGCTGTGAAAAGATCACAGATATTGAAGAAATGGAAAAACTTTTGTTAGTGTGGATTAATGAAAAACACTTGGCCAAGTGACAGTGTTTCTGAACAATAATTTGTGAAAAAGCAAAGCAGTTACATGTATACAGTAATCTTAGATGAAACACCCCAGGAAACAGTGCTGAAAAGTGATGAATTTAAGACAAGTGGAGGCAGTTTTGATAGGTCTGAAAAGAGAAGTGGGATTCATAGTATGTATAATAAGGCATGTAGACATTGAGGGATTTACTTCAAGTTTTTAACTGTGATGAAACCAGCCTCTTTTGGAAAAGAATGTCTAAGAAAATCTACATTGCACAACAAGAAAAATCATTACTAGGACACAAGCCCCTGAAAGACAGGCTAACACACTTGTTGTGTGGTACTGCTAGTGGGAACCACAGAATTAAACCATGCTAGTCTACTACTCTGAAAATCCAAGGGTGTATTTAAGACAAACAATGTCATAAAAAATAAACTCATTTTAATGTTGAGGGTTAATAGTAAAGCTTGGGTAACATGGCAATTCTTCACTGAGTGGATACATGAAGTGTTTGCCCTCAAGTGTGAACAAGTACCTTGTGGAAAAAAATGACCATTAAGGGCACTTCTAGTAACAGACAGTACTCCTGCTCACCCTCCAGGCTTGGAGGAAAATTTTGTGAATGAATACAGTTTCATTAAAGTGAAGTTCTTGCCCCCTAACACTACTTCTTCTTATCCAACCAATGGACCAGCAGGTAATTTCCAATTTTAAGAAACTTTACACAAAAGCACTGTTTAAAAGATGCTTTGAAGTGACCTCTGAAACAGAACTTATCCTTAGGGAATTTTGGAAAAAACATTTTAATATCCTTCAGTGTTTAAGGATAATAGACAAAGTCTAGAGAGAAGTTTTTTTCAGAACAATGAACTCTGCCTGGAAGAAACTGTGGCCAGATTGTGTCAGTCAGTCAGATTTTGAAGGTGTTGAGGCAGAGCCTGTAGTAAAGGATACTGTTTCTCTGGGCCAGTCCATGGGTTTGGAAATGGATGATGAGGATACAGAGGGGTTGGTTCAGCATCACAAGAATGAACTCACAACAGAGAACTTGAAGACCTGCACAAGGAGCAGCAAGAAGTGGCTGACGAAATTTCTACAGATTAGGGAAGCAGTAAGGGCAGCATTTCTACTGCAGAAATTAAGGAACTGTGTTACCATTGGGCTCAAATACAGAATTTGGTGGAAAAATGGTATCCTAACATTACTGTTGGGAATAGAAGCATTAACCTGTTCAATAACAATGCTGTTGACCACTTTAGAAAAATTTTGAAAAGTCATCAAAAGCAGACAACAGTGGACAGCTTCTTTAGCAAACGAAAAAAAATCAAATGCTAGTGAATCCCCCATCATCTCCAAGTGCTGTTGCACAGAGACAGAAAAGAGAAAAACACCAGATGGGCAGTTACCTGATGTTTTTATGGAAGGTGTACAACCTTTCCTCTCCATGTGAAAGCAGAACAGAATTCTTCCTCCATGAGCCATGCGTGTCATAAAAGGAGACAAATTCCGGAAGCAAGGGGCTAGTAACCCCTTTTCCTGTATACATTACTAAATTTAAAAGGAGAAACTTTCGTTTTTTTTTCCTTTTGGGCCACCCTGCCTCGATGGGATATGGCCGGTTTGCTGAAAGAAGATGACAACTTTTCCAAACATCTCTCCACCTTTCTCTTAGGCCATCAGTAAAGGCCATCTCAGTAAAGGCAAAATGCTGTTAAATTTTCATTTCATGTTTTTACTGTTTTTATAGTTTTCATGTAAGATTTTATGCATGCAAATATTATTATGCAGGTTTAAATAAGCAATGTTTCATAATTGTTAATTGTTTGGAATGCAGAATGGATTAATCCAATTTACATTATTTATGGGAAAAAATGATTCAATATTCATACAACTCACTATTCAAACAGCCTCCTAGAATGGATTAAGTTTGAATATCAAGAGACCACTGTATACCTAAGATAGGGCTGGGCTTCGAAATGAGCTAAGGTAGGATAACAGCTCAGTCTGCAAAACTGATCTGTGCATTTAAAAAAAATATTAATACAAAATGCTGGTGATGGAGAACCCCAGAAAATTTTAACCAACGTAAGTGTTAATACACAGATTTAACAGATTTTAACAAGCAAGGAATGAACATACAAATATAAATGAGAATAAAAACCTTGAAAAAGAAGTTGTAAACAAGAATAATACAGAACCAAATAAGTCATGCAAATTTGTTAATCCTTTCAGGATCAGTCCCGCAGTTCTGCTGCTCTGAAGCCAGAGTCAGTCAAGTAGTTCTTTGCTGAGCTCAGCTCACTCAGATAAACTGTGAGCGGTAAATTTGGGCCTAGATGTGAGAGAATGGGTCTGTGTGGTAAGTGTGCGCCATATAAAACAAATCTTGCAGCAAGCAATAATGGGAAAATAACTGACCGTGTTTTTGGTTTAAAACAGCAACTTTGCAGTGAATTTTTGCATGTTTTTATTGTTGTATTCTCAGTTTCTTGGTCTCCTTTGATAGAATGGAAGATATATTACAGAAATAGAGATGATTTTGATTGGTTTCTGGACTGTATGTCCCTTTAAAATTGGGCTTAAAAACCAGCGAAATGTTTTTTTTTGTGATTTTCCAGAGTACAAAAAGTCAAATATACTTGTCAAATATCATCCAACGGGCCCGTCAATATCATTTGGGAATGCACCAAAATTTTTAAAAATTATTACACAAATACAGTGTCTGCTAACAGTAAATCTTTTTTTGTGAGAATAAAAATTTAAAAATGGAAAGCAAAAGTAATTAGGAGAGGCCTAGGAACATAAAAAATGAACAGGGGAAAATTTTTTTTTTGTCCCGGGAATGTCTACATTGTTTATTTGGCCCCTTTTTTAAAATTTGGAAATTTTTTAAATTTTGTGGGGAAATTGCCCAAAATTTATCAATTTTTCATACTTTAGGGGGGGTAGTTAAATGGGTACGGGGCATTTCCTTGTCTCAGTCAACAAAATAAAATGTACTAGTGAAACACTACACTTTTGGTCGACTGGAAAAGGGAATTGGTAAAATAGGGCTCAAATTGGGTGAAATCAACAAAGCATAAACATCCCAAAACTGCTAACTTTGCAAGAATGTAATTCTGAAATTTTTTTCATAAAATTTCGTACTTTTGGTTTCATTCCCTTAGAAAAAAGATTCTTTATATTTATTTTTTTTTTTTTTTTTTTTTTTTTTTTTAAATTTTTTGCCCCTGAGAGCAAGTTTGAATCGGAGCTTACCCTAAAAGGGGGTAAAAGAAATTAAATGTAAAAAAAATTGCAAAGGGAAAAAAAAAAATCAGAAAAAATTTATCAAAGGGAGCAGAAAATGTGGGATAGTGTACTAAATAAAAAGACAGGTGGAGAAGTGTGGGGAAATGAGAAAGATG